ACCTTTGAGAGAATCAGCGCAAAAGGAATTTAAATATTTGGATGTGTTTTTGCAAATGAAAATACTAAATCTCTTTTTCTTTGCGAAACATCAGTTCCTTTACCTAGATATCATCCTACTCGCCCCACTTATTTCAAATGTATCGGCATTCAACAGAATGACTGACTGGAGAATTTTGTGAAGACGAAACTTGGAGCGTTTTGAATTCAAGTCAGAGAATTTTATTGCCGTGATAATGCTGAAGGAAAGGGACCAATTTCTAATAATTGGCGTAGATAAAAAAAAACGATAGAAAGTAATAGTATTGCAGAAATCCTTGCTCCTTAGCGTTCTGCATAATCGATGGTGTTGTGAAATAGAGAGGTCCGAAACGAAGCCGAGTTTTTGGAGGTGCCTGCAACCGCTATCATTCCTAAAAATTCCCATTTTAGAGTTCAAGAGTTTGGAACTACAACAAATAGGAAGATGAACCTTGTTTCTCTTTTGCACTTACTTGGATCTCGATAAGCATTGTTAAAACAGATACTAGTTGACGGTGTAACAAGGTTTTTACTCCATGACAGACACACTTTAAGAGAAGCATGGTCGTGATTCTTTAGCAACGCTAGTATTACACTATAAAGGACACGAAAGAACTTAAAAATAGCCCCTGCACAAGACTACACTCCAGGTCACATCTTGGTAAGAAAATTGATGTTAGGAACTTCCTCTCGCCTGTTATTACACAATTTCCACATATTTACTTTCCTTTGAAAGTCCACTTCAACATTTGTTTCTAGGCGTAAAACTGCATGTACCTGCACAGTTTACGGATGCTACATCAGCTGACGAGCTCTCGGAAATTGACACCGAAATGGCTTTCCTCATCTTACTTATTAGACTTCTTAGTTTCGCGTGCTCAATCCTTGTTAATAGTGTTTGGTTTTGCTAGTACTCGTTCTGAATAGCATGGGGTCAATTACCGTCCTCATTCAGCTATATTTCAGTTTTTTTGTTATCTAATTGGATCGCGTGATCTTCATAATAGGTGGATGGTCAACTGTCAGAGCAATAGAGGTTTGTTCTTAAGTATCTTTGCTACATGGTACTAAAGTCCGTCGCGATTTTGAGGGAAATGATTTATTTGCAGAGTTTTTAAACTTCAACTTAAGAGTTAATGTAATAATTTTTTACTCATAGTCATGTTTCATGTATGAGACACAATGCAGGGAAACGTCGCTGCTCTGGAACCTTACCTGACAATATAACACCAGAGAAGAGGGCGAAATATGACATATCCCAGCCAGAAACAGGCTTTTCGACTTCCGAAGTTGAGAACAAAGGCGACTTGAGGAAGAAACGCCTCAGAAAACGAACCAAAGGACTGCGAGAGTTATTAAAGAACAAGGTCAGTTGCTAGTGTTGGGTACGTACATATATTTATACCTGTCACTATTACAGATTGAGATCGCTCTGAGGAAATCATCTTCACCTTTGAGCCATTTATTCACTTCCCAAGATGAAGCTGGAACACCGCGTAAGTAGTTCTGCGACTACAGTAAGAGCAAGAGATGATATCATCTGTGTCTTTTTAGAAGCACCTTTTGTCGAAGTAATCAAAGAGATTGGTTTGAAAAATGATCAATGGTTAAAGGTTGGTAGAGCACTAATCTTTAATTTTACGTTCATCACAATGCATTTAGGCCGCTTCACTACCTGCTAGAACTATAGAGAGTATTTCGAAAATTACGAACATGTTCTCTATCGAAAAAAGCCGGGAAAACACATTGATGGTAAAGTACCGGCCTACCTCATTGAACATCGAGGACTGCACAGTTTATTTGGTTGGTATTCTCTAAATGCCATAAGAAATGCTTCAATGTTTCTATTTTGAAGTCCATTATGATCTCGAGGTGTAGCGACTATCTCGGAGCGCGATTCTATTTCTTTGTGTGTCTTGCAATTCCTGTGACATCAAGAGACTTTCGCAATTATCTGTTTACAGAATTATCATCAATTTTCCTTTTTTTTCTGATTACTAGACACAGCTGTATGGGATCAACCACATAATTCCTTTAATTTCACTTTCAAGACGATCATTGTTTGTGAATTTCAGGATAATCTTCCTATAGGATGTACATCTGAGAAGATCAGTCGAATAGCAAGGAAGTT